GCAAATGAAGTCGCTCTTAAGGTGTAATCAAGGACAACGCTTTACAGTACTATTACAAGCTTAAGTTTCAGTAGAAGTGAGGCAAGTCTAGAATTCCCCTTGCCAGATCTCATAATCTGTCATTGTCATTCACAGGTCAGAGGCTGTGTGAGGTGACAGGCCCACTGTCCCTTGAAAAAACAAATGCCATCCACCCAGTTGAATGCAGGCTAAGAAAGGACAGCAGCTGAAGTGGTTTGCTTCTGATTTACAAGACATTAGCTATTAGTTATCACACAACATAAAGCAGATTTTTTTAAAGATAATTTATCTTTTGTTTTCTATATTTTAGCTTTGAATTAATGTGTTTAAGACTAAAATCTAAACTTGAACCTTTTAAATTGCTTTTGAGATTATCCTCTGATTATATGTTGAGTTGGTCTTGTTAGCCTTGGGTTTAGAAAAAATATAGATTAAACAAAACAGAGTGCTTTATTGGATTTTAGATAGTTATCACCCATGTATTTGCAGCCTAAGGCTCCCAAGGACTAGTATGTGAGCCCCATTTAAGGATACTACAGCAACTCTAGATTTTCAACACATTTCCATCTTAATGCAGTCAGAGAAAGTTATTTTAAAAAAACCTTCAGATTGTCTTCCAAAATGATGCTGTAGCTAAGTGGTTGTGCTCAGTTACTCACTGCATAGGAAAGAATGATTTGCAATGTCTATCACAAAAGGAAATAATGTAAGAAAAGCAGTGGGGAGTTCTGTTGATCCTAAATAAAATCCCTAAGAAGTACTGTTTCTCAAAAAGGAGTCTAGAGAGCAATGTAACACTTCTCTTCTGAAGATGGTATAACAAGGGGCAATAGCCCCAAAACTGCATCTCAGGAGGTTCTGACATCAGGAAAACTTTTTCACTCAGGGGTAACACAGCAATGGAACAAGTCACCCAGACAGACTTGGGACCTTCATCCTGAGAAGTTTTCAAGACTCAGCTAGACAAATCCATGCTTGATCTCATTTCGTCTTGGCTACAGCTCTGCTTGGAGCAGCAGGTTGGCTAGATGACCCCCAGAGGTCCCTTCTAGCCAACATGCTCCATAATACTATGTGGCTGACAAGATTTATTTGCTATCATTATCAGATAAATATTTTTTCCACATAATTCTTTCCTTTTCTTTTTTCCCTCGTCTCTAAAGGGCAAGCAAACACTTCCCCAAAGGTTGTTCATTCCATCAAATTCTTAACAGCAACTATCGGATCCCTCTTCTTTTTTCCTATACCTGCCAACACATTTTATGATGAGGAAGATGGCAACGCAACTCAGTTATCTCTACAAATCATTCCAGCTGATGGCTCTCCATCGGGATCAGAAAGCTGGCTGCAGTTTAACACCTCTCAGCAAACCATGCATGGCTATCCCCTTGATATTGATCTCCAGTATTCGCCTCAGCAGTTTGTGCTGTCTGCCACAGATTCAGGAGGACTGACTGCCTGGGAATCCTTCACCGTTGAGCTTCTGAAGCCCACAAATGCACCGTGCCACCTTTACACTGTCCGAACAAAAAACAGCTACTACTCTTTCCTGAGAGAGAGGAAAAGGATTAGTTTGTTTATAGAGAAGCTCTCCCTCTATTTCAACTCCAGCAGTCCCAAAGACATCATGGTGACCACTCTCAAACCTGGGTCCACAGTAATCTCGTGGTATAACAGTTCACTGTGTACAAGTGCCAACAGGTCATCCAGCTGGTGCGCAAAAGATGAAATCCAGGAAGCACTAGAGAAATTAAGAGTGCCGGATGGGTACGTTAGCCCACACTTTGTCCAAGCAATGTTGCCAGAATACAAAATTGATGTCATTTTCAACATTGCATATAGTGAAGTCTGCTTTCCCACTACAAAGCCATTCGATGGGTCTTTCAACAGTACTGGGCCTACACTTCAAGACAAGAATGACTCCACAATTAGGAAGGCTGCATCTGCCTTACTAAGCAGTCTTTGTGTCACTGCTGGGGTGGTTCTAATAATACTGGTTTACTGGTTTTGCAAGTATCACAGGAAGGTTCCTGGATCGCAGTCTGTGATGTTTCAGAGAAACTCCCAGTTGAGCCATGCTGATGTGGAACTGGATGTCCTGAAACCTCGCAAAGCCCCTGTGCATGAGTGCAGGGCTTCACCTTCACCTCAATTATGGATACCACCTTCAGTATCACCTACCTCCCAAGAGCAGTATTCTAGGTCAACAGGACTGCCTCGCATCACACCATCTTTCCAGCCGCCAAAATACCAATTCCCTCCCCATTACCAAGAGGGTATGACTACCCAGAATGACCAGGGCAATATCCACAGACTTAAGGTAAGATCTTTTAAATGATTTTAAGAGCAAATCTACAAAAAGCCAATTTGTACTAGAATGTACTATCCTTATTACTGAGAAAAAAAGTCAATAAACAGTTAGCGATTTTATAATTTTTCAATTTAAAATCAAACATACTTAAGAGAAAATGTATACCAAGCTGATGCTGGTGAGAATGAGGGGTCACAGCTAGTAAAACTAACTCCATTGACTCTCTGATTCATAAATACACATTTTACATAGAAGGGGCAGAATGACAGAAGGACCATCACAAAACATGTTTCCATTGAAATTCAAAGGCACTACAACCCTTGAGTCTCTATGTCACCTTGGAATTTTAAATTAGTATTTTCAAAAAATGCATCCAGTAATTGTCCCTCTCATACGTGACACTGTCTCTGTCCTCAATAGTTCAAAACTTTTTTTAGTGTTTCTATTAAATACATTATATGTAGCATTTATAAAGGCAACAGTAGCTACTTAACATTAAACTCTTCCTGTTAGGTAATTGTGTAATGTACTTTTAAAAATACATTTTAAAGTTACAGGCTTGCTTTCTTACAGTAAAACTGGCTCTCTTGTCTGCTTCCACCCATGACAGTTCAAGGACCATAGGGAAGAAAATGTGTAAAAGTTTCTAAAAACTTTTCAAATATTTTTAAATCCTTTCAGTTTAATAGATTAACATATACAAAATTTATGGATTAAACTACTTAATCCATAACTTCCAATTTTAATCTGTAAACTGGTTTAGAACTGAGAAAGCCTTCTTTGAACCCGAAAGCAGAGTGTGAAATAGGACTAAAGTACCACCAGTACCACCACATAGAAAGAAAAGGAGATACATAAAGAACACCCTTTCCAGAACTGCCACAGGACTTTACTGGAGAAGGTGGATCGCCAAAGAGCTTCAGACCACTGACATTCCAACTCAGGCGATAGTTTCTCTAAGCTGTCTAGGAACACGAACTCACAGGGTAGGTCTCCTGTCACAGTGTGCTCCTGCTGACACGGTACATAGTGGCCACCTATTGTTGCGATGAACTCTGACAGAGCAGAAGGTATAGAAGCCACCCTGTATACAGGGCAGCCCAACCACCACAAACACTGCTCTAGCACAGTGAGCAGACACTAGAGAGCAGTGAGCTAGCCAAAGAATAGTTTTTGCCAGCTAAAGAACACAGGCACAAATATGCAAACTCCTACCTTAAGGAAACTAGGCAGAACTGGATCCAGTTTGGGAGCAGACTGCTGACCAGTCCAAAGGGAATCCAGCCCAGGGATAGATCTGGGAATGATCCACAACCAGGAGGTGAGAACAGCTCTCCAGTGGTCCAATTTTATGTTGTAGTGCAGATTAATGTTTGCAAACAACCAGATGCCAGCATGACATACCAAGGCAGGTCTCTGCAGCCTCTGCTGGCTTGCCTTCCCTCCAAACTTAAGATTCACACCTCCCAGCAATCCCAACACCAGTACAGCTCAACCAGTAGTCATGGCATAGAAAGAGAATTTGAACAGCTCACTAGCCACAAGTGTACCAAGAGCTACAGGACCAAAGTATTTGAACAGATTAAACTATATCTGTTGTGTACATTGTACATGTACAATCCACCTCTAGTTACAACATACTTGTGGGAGCAGATGAACAACATGAACTAGTCAGCTGCGCATATGAAAATGTTGCTAACACTGTGGGGTTTTTTGGGACAGCAGTTGCTCTGTGAATATGACAGTAGTGACAGAATATAGATCTTCTTGCATGAACAAGTAGCACTTGTCTGGGTTTACAGTGTTAAATAACTTTTTGGATAAATACAAATTCCTCTAGGTGACTACCTCACTGTTTTCCAGAAGCCATCCAGCTATAAACCAGCTCTAAAGTTTGATGTAAAAGTCAACAAAGCAGCAGTAATTCGCTGTAGTCAATAGTCTAGACATAGGATTGGTAAAATATAAATCTAAAGGATTACCGCAGGAAACATCAGCCCTTGTAGTATCTTATGTCTCAGTAAGACTCTTCAAGTACTTAGAATACAGGCCCACAGTCAACCACCTTGGAGAATCAGGCCCTGTTCATTTAATCACTTAACAGTCTTACCTGGCAGATGTTCCAAAAGTGGAAAAGGTAGTTAGTAAACAAGCTAAACAAATACATCTTTTAATAGCAGGTACAGAATTTTTCTTTTCCTCTAATAAAATATTTAATTGCTGCGCATATTTAAGGACTGCAGCTGAATATTAATGGCACATCAGGAGATGCAATACACGCAATTCCCCCAAGGCACAGGGTACGCTTTTCAGTTATACATCTCTAGACTAGCAACAAATTGCAGAAAGCTGACATTTACATGCTCCCTAGTTTCAAGAATTTAAAATTCCTTTAGTAAACAAGAGAAATATCCAGACTGATATGCAGTACAATCTCATTTAAAAAAACAAAATCAGAAACTCATAAGAAACAATAATTCCATAGTAGTTTTCTCCATCACAACATTTCAAATAGGATAGAGATGTGGTGATGCAGGACACCCTATTTTTAATTAAGTAGTGAAAATAAAAGTCTTTAGAATTTAGGATCTCCAAAAATTACACACTGCGTCTGTAAAAGCTACATAAGTTTTAGAATATGATAAAAAATATTATCACGCAAGTACTCTTTAATCACTCTGTAAAAACGGTTCTAAAATCATTTAACAGAAAACGCATCTGCATCACAGTGGCTAAATAATCACCTTGAAACTATACGTGGTACTTTAACACAGCTGAAGAAAGGACTCAGCTACCAACGTAAGTAAAGAATACTTGCTTCAGATGCTTGTCTTCAGATCTAGTCATCATGAACTATGGTATATTAATTTAGTTTTAGAAAAGCTCACAAAGATGTGTCTTAAATCAACTTAAACTATAACATACCAAATCTGTTGAGACCTTCAGTTGCTTATACAAGCTAGAATAAGGTAACAGATGCAAATCAGAGGAAGGCTGACATACATGTAGAGCTTAGCTATTCATCTTTCCTTAGCCCACTCAAGTTGACCCATTTGGAAGCCAACCCCAAATCTTACAAAGGATTAGATCACAGACATTGGGTGACAGTTTTCCTGTTTGAGAATTCTACTCTCCATTAAGAGAAAAAAAGGCTCTTAAAGATAACGAAGACAGATCATCCACTTTGTTATTTCACGGCCATTAATATTGAGAACAAGTCTCCCCATGACATTAAAAAAGCTTAGACCTAAAACCACAGGTATCTTATAGAGGGCATATTTCATCAAAAAAATAATTTAATGATTAGCAAAAATTTTATTTTACTTTTGCTTAAAAACAAAGACTTAACTCCAGCACAACAACCTGAAAAGCTTTGCTTTCTAAAGATAATTTCTAGTCAATTTTTAAAAGTCCTTAAACCAACAATTTTTATCTGTAAAAGCACTCACTCTCCCACCCCTTAGTTGAAAACCAAGACTGGCATTTTCTCAGCTCCGTGACTAGGTACTCAGTGTGCAGTCTTTTCCATAATTCTGGACTCCTGAGGAAGTTTCATATAAATAAAAGTATTCATGAACCAAAGTTAACAATATTATCAGTTAGTTATCGATTACTTGATTTTTTTTACCAGTCTTGCTGATTTTGAAATATTAAACTATAGTTATGGGAAAGGACTTAAAACTCTAACATATTTGATTACTTGATTTAGTCCATGGCAGTACAGGTTTTCTTCATCCTAAAAACATGACTAAAGTACTTCAGAACAGCTCCTATTTGCACACTATTCATTTAATGTGATATGCGGATTTTGTATTTCATAGCAAAAATAAGAATAGAAAAATGTAAAAACCAATCAAAACAGAGCTACACAATTTTACTGAAATGGTACCAATATCTATTCCAGCATTAAATATTTTTGCAATTCGGCCAAGTTTTGTCTGAAGAAACAGAATTAATCATCACTGCCGGCCTGCTTTTCCATTTTCCGTTGTTTCCATTCTGAAATGCAAGACAACAATCGTTATTGGAAATACAATCAACAGATTAAGAAAACAAATCAGACAAATATTTTTAATAAATATTTTTTACTTCACTAGCCATCCTGTCTCTCCTGCCCCCAACGTACACAATCTTATCTCCTTTTAATATTTCTTTAAGCAGCAATCAGTACATAAAGGAAAGGTTTCTGCAAAGAAACATTCCAGCAACAACTGCAAAAAGCTATCCATTATCAACCTCACCAAAAGATAAAAGTCCATATTCATGTAACTACAGAGTACCTATTCCTAAAATCTGAGCTTTAGCAGTTTGTTTCAAAGTCTTCATTTCCACCCTTCTTACACTGATCATTGACTACTGTCATCTTATTTACTTAAGAGGAGGTTGGTTTGGTTTTTCAGTATTTTTTTGGCAGAACATGGACTACTATGAACTTCATTACAGCACAGCATAAGATTCAACCACTCTATTATTGACAATATTTTTATATTACCCATTCCTCTGGAAGCTAAAGCAAGCAACAGACTGGCACAAGAAATCTCAACTTAGCTACCATTTAACCCCCTGAAGTTTAAGAGTTTTGCTGCAAGGCCAATCACTAAGGCACAGGGAAGACCATTTATCAGCATTCAGCCTTACTCAGCACAGATGCAAACAACTGAAAAGCAAACACTACTGTATTTCTCCATCAATACTGAAAGGAATGTATTTATAAATTTTAATCCTCCAAAAAGTCAGTTGCCTTTTTAATGCTGTAACTGAAGTATTCCTCCATACTGCATATTGACCACTGCTAAGATATTTGTAGTGATGCTACTGATTAACTGATACAAACCCATTTTCTTCTTTCAGATGTTGATATAGCTCAGCTTTATTGTTGACAGAGTTCAAACGACCAATAAATTCTTGGTGTTTCCTAGAGTTGGCAGTATTAATCCTGTTGCTCCATAAAGACAGCAAGGACATTGGCCCTAAAATTGCAAGTAAAAAGAGTTTAAGTGATTTAATTTCTGAATTCTTAAACATTACGTCATTATAAAAGCTCAGAAGAAATTACAGACTATGGTAGTAGAACATATTAAAACCACTAATATTAACCAACCTTATAAGAGAGGCTAAATAAACACAAAATATGCAGAGTGATAACAGCTGAGTAGTTGCCTCATATGAGATTGACTTTGCTTCAAATGCAGAATCTAAACATCAGCTCAGCCATTGCGACAGTTGGTAATAGCTCACACCAAGGAAGAGAAGTCAGTGAGAACTGCCTGTTCTGACAACTATACTTCTTAGGCATGTTTGTATTTATTAGTCAGCAGGAGACAGTGATTTCTGATACCTGTCCTTAAATAGCATTTCTGACATACAGTAGCTCAAAGAGCACCAGCAGAAATTTGTCCAAGCCCCTGTCAACACAACAAATGCCTATCAGTAGGCCCACTCAACATCCTGGTAGCTCTTTTTACATAGACCTGTTGAGGTTAACATTATTTATCAAGAATTTCTCAATACTGAGTGTTTAATTAAAAATGATCCTCACTGACTTAGCTTTAACTCCAAGAAGATTCATCTCATTGCTTTAGAAAATACAGACTGATACAACAACTATCTTAAAAAGAAATAATCTGTTGCAATTCTGGTTTACCTTTTGCCTTTTCAACTGTGGGCATTTCATCCATTGTAATAAGAGGCTTTTTGTTGGGTGGCTCAGGAGAATCAGGGGAATCTTTGATAACTTCAGCTTCTGCTAGTTCCTCTTTTTCACGATCCAAAATACCTTTTAACCTTTTTGAGAGGGAAGGAAAACAGTGAAGCAACATATGCTAGAGCAGCACATATGATTCTTGACACCATTCATGTGAAAAACAATAGGGAACACTAGCCAAATAATCCTCTAGATAAAGCCTTAAGGGAAGGATCTTAGAATATAATTTCATTTAAGTTAGTTAGCAGTATTTATATGGTAGTTGTTGAGACAGCTGATTATTCTGAATTTTGAATAAAAGACTAAGTAACAATAAATATACAAAAATACAACACGATTTCCTATTATCTTTTCTACATGAATTCAGACCTATTCTATATCAAGTCCCTTCTCAGTCCCCATTTTTACTCCACATGTGAAAGTAAAAGCAATTGTAGGAATGGATTTGATCATACATAGAAAGGCATGAAAGGTCATCAGCATGGTGACAATAATGTAGGTGAAAAGGTCCTCCTACCCTAAATGATCATAGCATGCACAAAACACATGCAAACTAAGATTACTACCATGTGCGGTTTTTGATTTCTTTAGAATAGTTTGAAAGACAGAAAACAGAAGAGACTGACAGATGCTTACCACTTAGACAAGTTACAATAACAACATGAATTATAAACAGTAGGTATACAATCAATCCTGATGTTTAACTAAAGAGAAGAGCCAAACCGATCTGGATTGTTTATCTACCTGAACACTAAACTATCTACAGCTCAAGAGAAAATAACTGCCTATCTTGAGTTTTTAGTCATGCTTTATTATTTCTGTAAAGCAGTTTAACATCTAGTAGGTGGTGTGGTTACGATAAAATGCAACAGCAGCAACTCCTCAAGCTGCAAAGCCCTGCTAAGTGGTCAACAACTTGTCCAAGAGCCATACTGCTTGTAAAATGTTAATTTGAAAAGTCCGATAAGCAGGCACCATAATAAGATGCCCATTTCCTAAGCTTGGTAATGATGACTGATCCAAAAAACCTGGGCATCTGCACTCACCAGTACTAAGTCAAGGTTACAAGCATGAACACATCAAATTGAAACTTGCAACTGTTTCACCAAAATTCCTCTCCCTTTTGAAGCAGGGCAGGACAAAAATTATTATGCTACAGTTTTATCTCACTTTAGAAAATTTACCTTTCTGATTCTTGCCATGGCTTATCTGATTCATAGTCTTTGCCCAACTTCTCTGACTTGTCTTCTTTGTCTTCTCTCTTTCTACCTCGTTTCTTGCGCTCCTCTTCTTCTGGGGGTTTGCTTCTGCAAGCCATCAAACATTCTAAAACTCGCTGGTGTTTATCAGAGTTGTTTATGTGTGCTCGTACAAGGGTCTCCAATTCATTCCACATAATCCGGTACTGTTCATCTCTAAGCAAGGCCAGAAAAAATATTTTACATATAGGATTACCTAGATGATTAAACCACTGAATAAATTAAGGTTAAAAAAACCAGACCTTAAGAAACAAAAATAACCCCAAAACAAAGATTAACCCCAAAGAGATTCTCTGTCCTCTTGTACTGGAGGGCTGTCCACCTGGGATCACTCCATCCTTGAAACCCCATTACATGTAACACTTCCTAGTTAATATCCTGAGTTAAGTTAAAACTGAAACAGACCGTGTCCACTGAAATCAAATCCTTAACTTCCACAAGATCTCACTACCAAAAGGCACTTCTGAATCCTCTCAGGTGTTTGCTAACCATGCAATCTCAGGATATGCAGAGGGCCACACATGTACCAACATGCAAATTAATTACTATTTAATTCTTTGGATAAAAAAAATTAGAAAGAATTGTACCATGCTACTGTAAATAACTTCCAGTCATGTGGGCAGATCTTCCATAGCTGGATTTCTTTTCAGCCAGTTATTGGAAATACAATGCACACATCACAATGACTGAGATAATAGGATATTCTATGCTTGTTTTAAAGGACTAGCCCGTATTTTAAATAACTGTTTCAAAAGGATTTGACTATTCTAATATAACCCAATTTTAAAGCACTGTTCATTTATAATATGCTTAAGTTTTCCTTTATATTAATTTGAAATTATTCCACTTTCCCTGCCCTAGCTTGTATCAATCTCTTACTTTTCTTCATAACTATCTTTGCTTTCATATTTTTTTTTAAGATACTCACAATTCTTGGGTAATAAAATGACGTATCTTTTTTCCTAACATACAGCAATATCAGCACTGTGATAGCCCCCAAGTGACACAGGCAAAGCATTTGTTTTGCATATATACAGCATTGAGTTTACTACGTATTACCTTTGGCCAAATTTTAAAAATTTGGTATGAAAACAACGTAAACAGAATATTTCTGAGAAAAGTCCAGCATCAACAAAAAGAGATATGCATGTAACCTTTTAGGACCCTTTCCTCTGGTACCAACTGTTGAAATTGGCAGTGGATCATTTTTCCTCTCCATGTCTACCAAATTGTATATTGTTTTTTGACAATTCAGAACATCCTCATCAGTCATTGCTTCTTTTACAATCACACTGGCTAATGGCACTACCTGCAAGACACAACAAAAGTCAACAAGAAAATCTGTGTATGTTGCAGAAGAGAAAGAGGAAGAAGAAAGAAATCAAAGACAATGGAACGACACACAAACACACCCCCTCTTATTCTCAGTTTTGTAATAACTCTGAGCAGGTATAAGCAGATGCACATTTTCTTTACCCAGCAGCACTGTAGCTGTCAGGTTCAAATGTTCTGCCCTATTTAGATGGCATTCCAATAATCTATTGACATTAAATACAGAGTACTTCAGTGAAGATAAAGCTGAATATAAACTGATTTTGTGGCAAGTGATTTACTATAGAGTTAATATTTCATCAAGTGGCAAGGTGACATTTCATCTAGAACAGAATAAAAGGGTACAGACCCCAGGTTACTTACAGCTTGCATGTTGAAGATGGTAGTCTGAGAAATAATCATAGGCCAGTAACGAGTATGTTTCTCTAACTGATCTTTTGCACGTTCCAATGGAATTTCAAGACTTCCATCAATCTTATATCTGGGCTCTAGAAAAGGAGTTAATCGGTTTTCCCTCATAAATTCACCAAAATCCTAATGATAACCAAACAAGATACAATTAGGCATTTCTCTAACAAAGTAACTTTCACTGAAGGGGCAAAACAGAAGAGTCTTGCTTATCACTAACTGTGTATCATCCCCACTGCTAAACTTGACCCTAATAACCAGAGCGCTGTTTCTAGCTTTCAGATATACATTATTCGGGGTGAGCACAAAAATAGTTGTATAAAAATATGGGTTAAAAACTGATGCAAGGTTTTTTTTATGAGGCTGCCTTCTGGATCTGCAAGGTATTTCATGTATGGTAAGAGTTTTATTATGTTTTTCTGGAAGCCACTTCTGCTTGTTTACAACAGATACAAAGGATGTGTTAAAAAAAAGGAAAAAACCCAAAATTAATACCAGCTGATTGTCTGCTCCATATCCAGGGTTCAAAGCTGACATCTTTTCTATTTATTGTACAAACCATTCACATGCAATCTATCCTTCTGACAATAAGGAGGGCATAGTCCTATGTGTATCCAGCCCACAGAAAAAACTTGCCAAGAAAAATGTTATTCTAGAATCAGAACAAATTTTAAATACTCGTAGTGCATAAGGAGGCAAGTCCTTCCTTGCCACAGAAAGGATTCTATGAAGCCGGCATAACAATAAGCAGATGTACTACTTTGTACTAAATATGTATCTGTAGTACAAAGAAAAACAGTTTGACCATGCAATCCACTCCAGCTCTCCAGAAAATGTACCAGCATTTCCTTTAGACATCTATTGCACTACATCTCTGAGATAAGCAGCAACTTAAGAAAAAAGCTAAAAAAAAAAAGAAAAGCATCTTACTGTAATCCGGTAGTCAGTGACTCTTCCACCACACCCTTCACTAATTGATGGGGGATCTTCTAGAATTGATCTCGAGCTGCTTAATACATGCAGAAAAATTTCTCCTCCATGGCTGCTGAGCATGTGACTAATTACTTTAGAGCCAGACTTGCGTGGCTGTTCCAACAGAACAGAACGACCTGTTGGAAACGAGATCAGTTTCATTAGTTACTGTGTGCTGCAATTTTAAATTAAAAACTACATATACACAACACAGGTTTGTACCTAGCCAGTAAGACTCTGAATCCATTAAAATTGTGTTTTCACCTAGCTGAACAAGAAACAGCTATCTCCTTTGAGTATTTACACTGTGTCTTTACACAGACCAGTGTCATAGGCTCTTGAATTTTACACAGAAAGATCAAAAAGCCTCTCTCCTGGATCAACCAACCACTTTCTCTGTAAGACATTATTCTTAGGAAAAATACATATTTGTAAAATGGTATATTGTGTAAGGGCAGCTTGCTGTTTTTAATTATTACAGATTACGTTGTATACTAAAATTAGTTCGTGCAACTGTAGAAACTCCCTCATTAAAAGCAACTTCTATAAAAATAACAAAACAACATACTGGAGTATATAGGTATGAATTGATGTTATTTGTTATTGCTTAAAATGGATACCGGTTTTCAGACAGAAAAATAAACCTGCCTTTGTCTTATTTCCAGTAAAATACACTAAGCATAAAAGGATGCATTCTCCAAATTGTTTGTTACAAGGAAGCAAAAATAGAAGATCAGAAGAGACTAGTTATCTGAAATATGCTATTAATTTTGGTTCTAACCATTTTTACTAATCAAAGTACTTTTCCAGTACAGAATCTTTAGAGAAAAACACAAAAATATAGCGTTTAATAAAACAGCTGCACATTTAGACACTGAAATGACTCAACTGAAGAAAACCCCATTAAAAGGATGTTTGTAATGCAATTTTGTTTGCATACTGTAAAAAAAACACATGTAATTAACATTGACTACATATTACTTGTTTGGAAGAAACAGCTTTGGGTTACCTTTTTAACATGTATTTAAAAGGCAACCTCTTACAGCAAGATTATTCACAGCAATGGGCAAGATCTTACAGATAAGCAAAAGATAACTAAATCTAACCTACTGTTTGACTGATTCCAGTACACATAGGTATTTCTGCTTCAATTGACCAACATACTTAGTTGCTCATAACAGTTAAAAGAGCTTTCTGAGGCTGCCCAGCATCTGCTAAAAATCAGGCATAGACAAAAGTTGCTAACATTTTGCAATAGTCAGGGTAAGCATTGTGATCAAGTGCACTATCACCTACTGAAATCAGTGTTTCCTACTAAATAGCGTAAAGTGAAAAGTATTCTATGTTTGGATTCAGAAAAGAACTACCGGAATTCAATACTTGCTCCTTCTTTACATCTTTCCTCCCATCTTCAAGTTTCAAAACACATTCCATTTGCCTTTGAGTATATTTAACAACTTTCTTCTTTTATTTATTCAACATGTTAAAATAAACGTGACATTTTTATAGTATATAAACATTTATTGCTATACAAGCCAAAATGTGGTAAGTGCTGTATTCACAATATTAACAATTAAAATGTTAAATAATTAGCCAAGGATACAAATTTACCATTAAGGAGAAAGTTAGTAAGGCATGAAGAAGGTCTGCTATTTACATCTACTGGTGAGATTCTGTATGCTCCGGTGCAGTAGTGTAATTCTGAAAAATAGATGAGTAGAAAAGTTGAGTGTACTACCACATACAGAAAAAACATCTCACAAAATAAAAGAAAGGAAGAGGAGGCGGCTATGCCACAATCAGCAGAACTAAAAAGTCTAGCTGTCTCCTGATCTAAAAGTCTGCTCCTTTCACCACCTCCTCACAATCATTCCATTACCCTCAACTCCGAGAGCCTAATACATTCCCAAGCCCTATTTCCAGCAGGACCTCCAGTTCTTCATCTCCTGAATTACTTCATTGTAGAGTCAGCATCCTCTTCTTTCTCTTATCTATATTTTTGACCTGCTGGCTCAAAGAGTCAACATATCTTGCTGATAAATCTACAGGGTGCATGAGCTAAATGGCTGGGTGGTTCCTGTGTTACCCCAATTCTTCCCCATCTTTCTCTCCCTTACTCAGATTTGAAGATTAATATAGAGCAACTAGTCTAACTGATAGTATCATTGCATAAATTTCCTTACAAAGCTTTTCACCTAGCACTCTAAAGATTACACTAAAGGTAGTACTTTGATCCCACCCCCAAAACAAAAATTAAAACAAAAAAAGATTCAATGTCTCAAATCTGCTATGTTAAAAAACCACCGCTGTGGATCTGACAAGATATACTTGGCCCTGTGGGAGGGGCAAATCATTACTGAACACTGTAGAGGAGATTGAAAAAAGCCACCAAGAAAAGCATTACTACCCCTCTCACCTCTTAGGCAAACCACTCATTAGCCAAGATCAAGAGAGCATCGTATGACCATTAGTAGAACACCGTACAGTCAGCAGCAAGGTTTATAGGCCAAAAGGTAAAACCAGCATTAACAAGAAGCAAATTACCTCCTTGTTCAGTTTCTTACCAGTGTACAGAAAGAACAGTGTTCAACACAAATTAGAATATCAGTTTTGTAAGATACCATGTTACCTACCCACACTATTTGTTCGAGGAGTACACCATTTTAATGTTACAGTTTCTTTAAATGTGCCTTCTCTGCTATTGCCACCTATATGATTATCACCTGCAATATAAAGTCAGAAAAAGTGTGTGATCAACCATATTTTCTTTATTACAGCAAAAAACCTCTAAATTTTTAAGGTACAAAATATTTATAACATGAGCATATACAAAATACAATCTAATTTTAAGAAGTTAGGTATCTAACTTAAGCCAAAAAAAGTTATTAGCAGTGGCAGCTGAAAAAAATAACCTTTTAAAATCAGCAGCCATTGCATATATTTTAAAGACCAATTCAGCAAACAAAATACTGCAGCTCCAGAGTATGTTCCATAGGTTTGATTCAAGATTTAGAAAATTATATATATGTTTTATCTATAGCAGGCAAATCTCTTCTTCTAAAATGCCTAGGACTTTAAGGAACTATCTTTTTAGTTTTCCACACAGAAATCAGAACCCTTAACGAATGTTAGAGCTGACAATTTCTTGTACATATTATGTCCTAAAGTCAAAACTGAAACTGATCTAAGGGCACATTTGACAAGTTGGACTTTTTGGGGAAAGAAGTATTTGGTCTCATCATCCAGTGTCTTTGCTATGTCAGATTCAATCTGAACATCTCTGAACACATTTCACTGGCTGTAGATGTTTTATCATTAAAATACTTCCTTAAATCATCTCACTGGTAACTGGTCTGGCAAAAACCACCTGAAGGCCTTAAAGCAGACATTATCAATACTCCTTAATACACTAAACTATGCTTCTACTAGTGAGTTTTGTGATTCTTCATGATCTTTGACTTGTTATCTCAGGAAAGAATTGACTGAGTTTTGCATGAAGTTTCATAATTACAGTAGCATAGTCACTTAATATGCTCAAACCCACAATAATTGGGAGGAATGAGACACATACATCAACATGCAACATTGTATATAGTATGTTAGGGTTTAGTCTAATCTTTCACATACCAAGTTTTCTTTTATTTCATAACAAAGACATTTACTCATAAAAGGTTTGATCTGCTTATTAATCATGCAGGCAACTTGCAAAAGTTTGGTGGGTTTTTTTCAGTTAAAATAACCAGAATCATTTTGGAAAGCCTCTCTCGGAATATCTAAAGGCAAAACTTATTTAATATAAAAATCCTCTAGCAACATTTCACAGAAATAAGATCAATGTAACTGAATTCCTACTTTCCTAGCACCAGAGCCATTACAGCTGAAAGATTTATGTAAAAACAAATAAAAGAAATTGAAATTTACAGGAACTATGAAGAGACTTTTTCCTCTCAAAGTTCCGATGGAAAAAATCTGAAGAGGAATTGCAGTCCAAGTTTGCTTTTAGCTTTTACTAGCAGACTTATTCCTTGAGCCAATAGGTATTACAAAACTATTTCTGAGCCCTCACAATAAAGTGTTATGCTTTCAACATGGTAACACAAGTTCAGGTGAGTCAGAGTTCATTACTGTAACATTCTATTCTTTTTCCACAATCTTTAATCATACACTCCACTAAAATATGCAGCACAGTACTTTTAGATGATAACAAGAAGTTACCTCCCTTTCCTCAAAGTAATGGTAACCCCCTTAAGAGAAAAAAAAACCCCACAAACTCCCTAAAATGGCTACCTTACAGACCATACAATTTCAAACTTCAGAAAAGAAATACCCACTCTTTGTTAAATAGCTCTGACATAACTAACTCGTTTGTTAAATTCTTTGCTTCTTAGAAGTCAAACCATGATCAACTTTCTAATATGCTTTAAAACTATATAAGATAGTTTTGGATAGTAAAACAAGTATCTACAGCCTGTATCTAAATAGATGTATTCTACAGACACAGTAAATCAGACTAAGCTTTTAATGGTATTGAATCATATAACAGAAATTACAGTCAATGCAGTAAGAGAAAACAAAGCATATACAAGCCTTTAAAAGCTTCAGATGAGACTTCAGCACTGAAAAGGCATACAGTGTATGTATTCCATAACACACTGGCACAGGCTGAAGGTGTTTCCACTGCTTGGCTTTGCTTTTAATTCTACCAATACAGAATTTTTAGCCTGACTTATTAATAAAATTTTACATCAAGTACTGTTTCCTGAACAAAACAGTTTTGCACAAGGCTTACTGTTGTGTTTTTCTAACCTCAGTTATTAAAAATTCACCTCAGAGGAATACTAGGTAATAATTCCAAATTTACAAAAAGGATACTAGGTATTTAAAATACAACAAGAAAGCTCAAAAGCCAAGTAACAGTTGTCATTTCCAAAGCAGATACTGTTATAAACAGGCCTATGGGATCTAAGTGATGTCAACTATTATTACTTGACAGATTAAAAGTTCAATTGTGCAAGGAATAATTTTCCACAAATACCCACAAGAGGCACTTTCTTTTTTAAAATCACTGCACACCTGGTCTCTCATCTACTTTTTATATCTCAGTAGGAAGTTGACATGTCCCTCAAATCTCACACAAATATCCTGAATATATGTGAAACCTTGTCTGTTGAATTTGACCTGTTTTTTCATAGTTATATCCTTATTACTATATTAAAATATGCCAGTAATGAGTAAAACTCCAATGCCAACATTACAAATCAAATTCTAAGGTTGTAAGGAATAACTGAAAATATGCTAATCATGCCTGAAATTTACATCAATTTGAAGCTTGCAATCTTTCTTTGTGAATACTTCTAGCAGGCTGATCAAAAGCCACTTTTAGAGGACTATTTCTACTTACCACTCTTTAAAAAGTCAACGTGTGCCTCTTTGTGATGAAGAAGCTCCACATCATAGTTGGCTGATGTGTTAGCATGTTGTTCTTCCTTTAAAAGAGAAAGGTAGAAAGAATAAATATAATTCTTTTAGCTAGAGGTCACTGTTTTCATAAATGAATGATTCTACATTTACCTTTCACTCCAGAAGAAAACAAAAAGTCTCCAAAGTGCATCAGACAACAATGGGATTGCAATGTTGAGGAAACTGTTTGCTCTCTGACCTGTTTAAAGATGCAGCCATCTGCTTTTCCTCTTTTTTCCTTTTTTGAAACCCTATGGTTTCCCCTTTATACAAATGTCATGACAGGGTACATAGTGTAAAATATAGGTAAAAAATAGGCTTAACTACTTTTAAGTTAGTGAAGTTAAGGAATCTTACAACATATCGAATACCACCAGCAGTTACAACTTACTGAGCAGCAACAACTGGTCACTGCAGAATAGATTGGCAATTACTTTTCACAACTAAAAACCTCAAGAATCCAAACCAAAACCCACATTTTGAACTTATTATCATTTCCTGGCACTTAATATATATAGAAGTGAACTTGCAGCTGCAAGTTTATAATTAAAAAAAATGGATGTTTTTAAAGAGAACACTGCATCTTTAAACAGCTGCAGAGGACTAGCAAAAACAGAACAGTAACCTTGGTAATTTATTCCAAGTTAAAAAAAAAAAAAAGAAAAAGAAAAAACCACAGAGAACCCAACATAGTCTATTACTATAAAGACAAAGGCAGAAGGGAGAGGCATACCAGCAGCACACAGGTCAGAAAATTACAGACAAGGTATTTGCAAACTTAAGTCACATTTATGCCATGACCCATGTCAAAGTTTCATTAAAGCTGTGAAAATAATTTTTAATTTCATGTTTTAACTTACAAAATCCATACAATACTGTTAGTTTTCAATGATGCAAGTAATGATTGACAGTATTAGAACTTGATGAATTTTTTAAATCAGGAAAGTTTATCTGTCCCTGCCCTTTTTGTTTGTTTGAATACTGACACTTCCATTTCAATTGTCTCTTGCTGCCTGATCAGAAAAATCATTGTAAACTTAATACTTGAAATTCTTTGTTGCACTGATTTCCCTCCCAGTAGCAATGAAAAAAAAATAGGGACAACCAACTTTGAGCAGAAGATGCTTAATTTAGTATCTTTCTTAACTAGACATAGACCCTATCCCCCTGTTTCTTTTTTATGGATCTTCGAACTGGAAAACCTACTGGAAGATCTTTAGTCAAAAATCAGCTATTAGTTACAAACACCTTTATGTTGGGTGGGCATGATAATGAAACAGAGGAAAAAGAGACTCACTATGCCACTATAATGCACAAGGGTCAAGAATATCTAAACACAACTAGAAAAAGACAAAAGAATCACAGACAAAGTAATCTGAGGTAAATAAGATTGTATTTATATAAAATAATGCAAACAGAACTGAAATAACACTTGTATTGCTACATCAAAAATTGAGATTCAGCAATACAACATTTTGTTCTGTGATCCTTCTTTACTTTTTTTCCCCTTCTTTATTTTACTAACCTGGTCACAGACATTGAATGTGGGCTAATAAAAAAAACAAAACAGAAAATATGATATGGAGAGAAAAACAATGTAAAAATTCAATTAAAATAAACATTAAAAGTTTTCAAACAAATTTAGAAGTGATGCAGCTAGTTAATACAAAGCTATAGACACAATTTTACCTTCATCGGAATGTTAGTTATTGTGGTTGAAGCCAGATCAAAGTGCTGTTGTACTAAAACATTCAGTTTTGTAGCCAGATGCCGTCCCGCACGGACACTGTGCACTTCACTGGTTAAAACTGGTGAAAGCTAAAATAAATTGACAGAGTATATAGTATCAATGGATTAGGCTCTAGTATCATGTAACAGTATTATTCATTTGAAACTCTAAACTAAATACATTTATACTGTTAAATTCAACTAGAGGGAAAAACTGCTGCCCAAAAACCCCACACCATGGGAAACTAAGGAGGAAGAAGCAAAGATTATTTCTCATTCAGAATTTTTCAGGTGTATTGGGTTTGCATGGCAAGGTTTTGGTAGCAGGGGGGCTACAGGGGTGGCTTCTGTGAGAAGCTGCTAGAATCTTCCCTTATGTCCGACAGAGCCGATACCAGCTGGCTCCAAGAGGGACCCACTGCTGGCCAAGGCTGAGCCCATCAGCAACAGTGGTAGTGCCTCTGGGATAACAGATTTAAGAAGCAAAAAAAAAAAAAGGTGCTATGGCACAGAAACGGCAGCCGGAGAGAGGAGTGAGAATATGCGAGAGAAACAACCCTGCAGACCCCCAGGTCAGTGTGGAAGGAGGGGGAGGAGGTGCTCCAGGCACCAGAGCAGAGATTCCCCTGCAGCCCGTGATGAAGACCATGGTCAGGCAGGCTGTCCCCCTGCGGCCCATGGAGGTCCACGGTGGAGCAGATCTCCATCTGCAGCCCAGGGAGGACCCCACGCCAGAGCTGGTGGGTGCCCAAAGGAGCCTGTGACCCCGTGGGAAGCCCATGCTGGAGCAGGCTCCTGGCAGGACCCTGCAGACCCATAGAGAGAGGAGCTCCACGCTGGAGCAGGTTTTCTGGCAGGACTTGTGACCCTGCAACGGACCCACGCTGGAGCAGTCTGTGCCTGAAGGACTGCAGCCTGTGGAAAGGGCCCACACTGGAGCACTTCGTGAAGAACTGCAGCCCGTGGGAAGGACCCACGCTGGAGAAGTTCATGGAGGACTGTCTCCTGTGGGAGGGTCCCCATGCTGGAGCAGGGGAAGAGTGTGTGGAGCCCTGCCCCTGAGGAGGAAGGAGCAGCAGAGACAGTATGATGAACTGACCGTAACCCCCATTCCCCATCCCCCTGCACTGGTGGAAAGAGGAGATAGAGAAAAATAGGGAGTGAAATTGAGCCTGGGAAGAAGGTAGGTGTGGAGGGAAGGTGGTTTAAGATTTGGTTTTATTTCTTATTACCCTACTCTCGTTGACTGGCAATAAATTAAGTTAATTTTCCCTAAGTCGAGTCTGTTTTGCCCATGACGGTAATTGGTTGAGTGATCTCTCCCTGTCCTTATCTCAACCCATGAGCCTTTTGTTATATTTTTCTCTCCCCTGTCCAGGTGAAGAGGGGGAGTGATAGAGCAGCTGCACAGTGTTTAGTTGCTGGCTGGGGTTAAACCACAATGTCAGGTTACACCAGTTGTTATAGTTGCAGTTGCTACAAATTGTCAAAAAATGACAAGTGTGCTGAAAAACTTGAGTCGTTAATTGTTAATAAGAAGAATTAGTACCACAACATGGGGAAGAAATCCTCTTAATAGCAGCTTGGGGCCTAGTTTTTCACTCTTTTACCTGCTGAGTAACAGGAACAAAGTAATTTTTATATACCTACCTCTAAGTTCATCATATACACACAAGGGAAACAAACACAAGCGATAAGATACATTTGATTTTTCCCTAGCCAACAAGGACTTTGGGTGTAGGCTTTTTGGAGGAAAAAAAAACCAACAAAAAAACCCAGTGAAAGATGACTGTCTTAGAGGAACATAGTAGTCAATTTATTCTCTTCTGTTCACATTTTATTTTTTTACCACAACTACAAAAGAGTTTTGTAGAAAAGAATCTCAGGAAGGTAGCTGTTATAGTCCTTTTTATTTATGAAATAATGTGCAGGGCTAGATGCCTTTCATGTTAAGAGTAAGACTTTTTTTCTTGTGTCTTATCTCTTAGAGACAGCACATTAAAATACTGAGCAGAGCAGACTGATGAAGAGCAGAATTTATTACAAAATATTTCATATGTACTTGGTTTCAAACAACCACCACTAAGCATACAAGTCCACAAAGCACACATGCTTTTGTTACTGAACAACTGAGATGTTAATATATAGAATAATTTCTAATATGCATCCTTTCACCTTTTTGTAAAATAATCTTTAAAAGTACCTGTAGGTCACTTCAATTATTTGACAAACTTCAAGCATATTCTACATTCCCACAATATATTATCCTTTCACTTGGAAGCAGATATGCTTTCCAATGCTTTTCATTAAAAGGCATTCTGTTTGCTAACACTGGAACAACAGAATTTATACACAAAAGCTCATTTTGGTTTCATGAGAAAAGCATTCGACCAAAAGGCTAAAAATGCTAATATGTTAGTCTGGGTAACATGGAACACACAGTGCCGAACAACATCCACATCGTTCAGTAACAGATATTAAGGAAAATGGGGCTTGTGCTAGCTAGCAGCTTATGCTTGAATAGCAGGAAAGTTACTCAGCTAACCTATTCAACACACCAAGTAGTTGATGGTTTTCCACTAGGTTCCTAAATGTGCATTTCCTTCTCAAAAAAGCCATCAAACCCAAGGCTATCATTCTATGGCATTAACAGGCTTACTTCACAAAAAAATGAATCACGAATTATTAATGCAAGAAATATAAGTAAGGAAATGAAATAAGGGGATACCATATATGCACAAAGACTACAAAACAAGAAAACAAAGCATATGCTTTAGACAGCAATATGCAGGCTGTCAACTTTTCAAAGAATTATCACCTGTACTTTTTCCTACACCTTACCAGAGACCAGAGGCTCAAAACATTATTGCCAAATATTTAACTTGCACTGCCTATTTTGAGTCTGACATGGCTCCTAGTCCTTGGATAAATGTTCTCATTTTAAGCTCCTTACCTCTTTTTTAGGACGATCTGAAACAAGGCTGTCTTCACCGACCGGGTAAGTGTGGATTAAGACCAATTCACATTTCTGAATCTGCATTAGACTTAAAAATAAAAACATTCTATTTAGCCTACAGTGTGGCAGACTATCTCCTAGAAATTAGATCAGCTCTCCCAAGATTCACCTGATTTCCAGAACACAGAATCATAAAGATGTATTACAACATACTGTTTCTGAAAGCTTTCTGTAGAAACTAGGTTACATTAATTACTTTCAAAAGCACATACTTCAAAATAAGTATCAGAATAAAAAAAAAGTATAACATTTCTAGCTCTTCAGATGCTATAGCACTGCGTTTCATTTTGGACATATCAATGGAATAGATCCTTAACTGATGTAATCTGTTCAGTTTCATTCAACTGAAAATTGACACTACAGAGGATTTGTGTCTCTAAGCATGTGCGCGGGTATTAACAAGGGGATGCTAGTGAACATGAAAACAACTACCCAAATAGCATGCTCATCTCCTAATGCAGCTGGAAATTCGTAGAGATCAACACATTGTTCCACATGTCTACCTACAGGAATGAGACGACTTTTCTGTCTTTACAGTGGACTTAGAACCTGATTCCCTTGGGCAGTATCCTGTATATACACATAAAACTGCAATTGCAGCAGGTAGATATAGGAGACTCCTCTTCTGCTATTTAAGTGCCTAAGGAGCAACCAAGAACAGTATCTCAACCTACTATACACTTTACAAGGCAATACACAGTCCCGGGCCAAACAGTTCGGTGTTTAATTACACAAAACATATGGTGAAAAGATGACTTCTCAGAGGAGGTGCAACCTCTATTTCAAGAGATTCCTTTATCTCAAGGGAAGTGTCAGGCAACACAATAATTTAGAAATTAAATCTAGTTTCAAAGAAGTTAGCTATTTTAGTCGAAGAAAGCTGAATGTAAAATTAATGCAGCGTTATCACAAAAAATGTATCAGATGAATTACTGCTTACAAATATCAGTATATAAGCCACAGTTACATGTCTCATTTTGGAGCAAGATGCAGAAGGTAACAACCTGAAGAAACACTGTCCTATGAAGATAAAGGATGATACTGAAAAGCTAATGATTATATACCAGCTCCAAGTCAACAATATCATGATTTAGTACTTTTGTCCTGGTTTCAGCTGCGATAGAGTTAATTATCTTCCTAGTAGCTGGTACAGTGCTATGTTTTGGGTTCAGTATGAGAAGAATGTTGATAACACACTGATGTTTTCAGTTGTTGCTAAGTAATGTTTAGTCTAAAGTCAAGGATTTTTCAGCTTCACATGCCCAACCAGCAAGAAGGCTGGAGGGGCACAAGAAGTTGGGAGGGGACACAGCCAGGACAGCTGACCCAAACTGGCCAGAGTGTATTCCATACCATGTGACATCATGCCCAGTATATGAACTGCAGGGAGTGGGGCTGGGAGAATCACTGCTCAGGGACTAACTGGGCATCAGTCAGCAGGTGGTAAGCAATTGCATTGTGCATCATTTGTATATTCCAATCCTTTTATTATTGCTATTGTCATTTTATTAGTGTTATCATTATTAGTTTCTTTTCTGTTCTATTAAGCTGTTCTTATCTCAACCCACAAGTTTTACTTTTTTTTCCCCCAATTCCCTCCCCCATCCCACTGGGGGGGTGGTGGTGGGGAGTGAGTGAGCAGCTGTGTGGTGTTTAACTGCTGGGTCAGGCTAACCACAGCAACCTTCTATTTCACACAGGCACCCATTCTAACAGTTCATTAGAATAAGTTTTAAGTCACAAAAATACATCCATATTTCATAGAGGATATAACAGGCACACACAGAGTAAGAGAAACCACATTTGTAAAAAGTATACTCACTGATCTGAATTAGCTGCAAGCTTGTTATGCTCATGAATGGTTTCCTGAACACAATCCTCAAGCATCCGAACATGACTGTCACTAGAAAGAAATTTTATATTTTTTTTTTATGCAGGATATCCAATCCTCCTGTTCAAAGCAACATGCCACTAAATGCTCTCCTATTTCAAGTGGGAAATTTTTGGGTTGTAACTGTAACAGGCCTCCATATATGAAATATTTATCAAGGCAAGAAATGGTCTAACAAAAAACTAGCTACTTAGGGCACTAATTACTGACAATCAATGAAAGACTTCTAAAAATGTATAAAATAACTTTTTTTAAGTGGTAGAAGCCCATTATCATACTTGCCTTTTTGCATTAGTAATACAGATTATTCTCCCTCTGTTTCCAACTCGTTCTGCATTCTCCATGAGCATGGTTCGAGCCTCATGCTGGTATTCTGTTATTTTGCAGAGTGCTTCAACTGCTGCAACCAGACCATGAAGTATGCTGCAGCACTCTGGATCTGCCCGAGGATTAGGTGGCCCAACAGCTGCTAATGCTGCCATCAACTAGTTAGAAAGAAAGAAATTATTATTGAAAGTTACTTTCCAGCCATTTGTTAAAATGATGAGTTAAGAGAAAAGTCGTCTTTGTAACTTATTTTGCATGCAAATTCATATTGTTGGGAGAAAAGTCAAACAACCAATTAAAGACCATTATATGTTGCCAGGCTTCTGGAGAACATTTGGCCCTAAATTATCCTTTGCAATTCATTTATTAATGGTTACTAAGCCTTGAGAATATAATATTCTCATTTATTACAGAAAAATACCTGGCTATAATAACAAGTTATATCCAATACCTGCAAGAAATCCTACCATTACCAGTTGTTATCTGCTTTTATTTTCTGAGAATTTGGAAATTCAGTTCTTCCCCAAAGTAAATTTTTCAGAGGAAACAAAACAAGAGCAAAGAGAAGATTTACTTTTTTTTTAAACACAGTTTATTTGCCTTTCATACAAATGTAAAATAAAAAGCCAAATTTAAAATTTAAGTATCACCAAGTTACAGAAAACATACATAGATAATTTCTTCATAACATTTATTTTAATATATAACTCTATACTCAAAGCTACTAGATTCTTTTCAAATTATCTAAAGCTGCCTATAGAATAGTCCAGCTTCACTGGCTACTTCTTAAAATTCTGTTAGGCAATAATTTCAGACCAGATCCACCAACATTTTAATTAAGTGAAGTTATTTCACATTGAACTTACTAAGAAGCTGCTATTTATTCCACAATTAAACTAGACTTACAAAACAAAAGAACAGTTACAAAGCATACCTCCTGCAAGTTCTGATCTTCTTGAGTCCAAGAATTCAAGACATGAGCCCCAGAATCACTCACAATGAAATTCACCTAAAAGGATCAAAAAAGCACATGTAAGATAACAGCCATTATGGCTACTTCCCCAAATCCAAACAAACATGAATTACACCTCTTTCTTCTGATACTCTGGAGATATGTGCAATGACAAGCCAAACCAAAAATATGACAAAAAACCCACAAAAAGCATCCACTCCTGCTACATTCAGTTACCCCTTTAGTAACATTATGATTAACAACTTCTTACTCTATTTATATTTTTAAGCCACTACATCAATCTACACCAAATTAGCACTGCAGGATATTATGAAGTATTTTAATTATCAAGTAATATTTTCAGTAGAATAGCTACAAAATAAATTCTAATACTGCAATATTGCAAATCATTCTCCCAAGACTGTCAGAGTAGGTCACAGGGATAAATATCTAGTAAGATTTAATACACATCACATAGCAAAATATGCTCTAAAGATGACAAAAATGTCAAGAGGAAGCACACCTTCCATCTCAATTTCAGTTTCTCGTACTACACAAACTCCAGTTCAGCCGTCTGATTCAAATCCATTAAGAACACACTTGATATAATCCCATGATGGGACTTGACTGTATATTAAATGCTCCAGAGTTTAAACATTCATTGTCTGAGAACCAGGACACTCAATCCACCACAGTCGTGCAGCTGACATGCATCAAATCACTGAACTACCAGAGGTATTTTTGTTAGTGCCGGGCCTCTACCTCAGCTGCTCTCTGACACAGCCAGTATTCCACCATCACTACTTTGTATCAATATCACTATCACAAGGTTATTTTAACTTTTTTTTTAAGTGTAACTAACCTTTAGGACATTGCACAGTGGTTTCCTCAATAATCAAAAAAAATCTTAAAAAACAGCCATTAGTTACCTTAATTTATGATACAGTGTTACAGAACCCACCAGGCATTTATTTTTCTAAACAAGGAGCTATGTGCCAGGAAGTTCTCCCACTTTTTCAAACTGGTAGCTTCAGGGCAATCCTACCTCTTCCTAAAGCCCAGAATTCCTTCAAAGTTGACATCAAGAACCTTATGAAGTGCTACCAAGTGCATTTAGAAACAAGATTCAATTTGAAGCAATACCTCATTCAAGCTTTTGCAAACTTACAGCTCAGGAGAACACAATAATAAATCTGTAAGTTACCTTAAAGCACCTATCCTGTTTTGCACAGAGTTAGGAAGTGACATTAAGACAATGAAAGGTCCCCAAAATAAATATGTAACGGGATTCAAATACTACTCAAACCAATTTAAATAGCTATGAAGTATATCAACAGCACAAAGAAATTTTTATATAATAAATTATATTTGACCTTTTAACCTAACCAACAGATAATTATATCACAGCACTTCATTAAAATGGGAAAATATCCCTTATACTATCAAGTATCATAAGCAGTATGGCTAAAAACTTACCAGTTTCTTGAAAGGGAAAATATCATACATTATTCTACAGTACTCCATGGATGATTCCACTGAACAGGTCCATAGCGATTTTGATATGGGTGCTAGAGGTATAATTCCTTGGGTCCGATTCTTTACTAACATATCAAATTCAACATGTTGTCTGCAGGATTCTGCCATATATGGGCAGTGATCCACAACGAAAACAGTTTTATGAGACTCAGAAAATATTTTCATTTTCTTCCTGAAAAAAACAGATATAAAAGTCAGAAATTGTACAAGGCAAAAAACTGCATCACAAAATTACTGTGCAATTTACATAGTATAACATTATCTTACTAGAATATGCAAGTTTTAAAATAACCTCCTACAGTATTCAGATTACATTTTGCATACTTTGGCTCCTACAAAACTGCTAAGCTTTTAAAAAAACTACAAAAAATTCCCATTTTAAGAATCTATTTATATGGAAAGAAATACCCTCTAGAACTCTTACTAGTTCATGTATTTAGTATGCTAGATTTAAAAACCAGAAGAAATCATTTTTTCTCAGGAGAAAAAGATGTAGAAAATGTGAAAGTATACTGTTGAAAAGGCAACAAAGATGCACAGTATTACCCTTCCCACTTTTCTAATTAAAAGAAACTTTTAAGAAAAATAAGTACAGAAACTGCTTCCTATTCAAAGCTTATTTCATAAAATAAGCAACATGGAAAAAAAATTATGATTAGGCTATACAGACCTTGAAGTAGCAAAAATATCAGACAGGTAAGTGCATTTTCAGCCTTCACTTTGTTAGGTACATCTTTCTATTTTTCAAATGAATATTTGCATCTGTACTCTGATCTCTCACTGACAGACATACCAAGTCTGAAATTATAGTGTAAATGTTTCTTATCCAGCAAGACTCATAGGAGCACCCCTTGTATTCTTCCCAACTACGAAGCCTGAGAATTCGGCAATGAAGCGAGTTGCATTTTCCCGTTTCACATCAATAGACTGGTTTTCCCTCTCCTCTAGCATGACTGAAAGAAATACTTTTGAAGCAACTATAACATCAAATCCTTGTGTTAGGGTGGACATCATAACTTGGAGACCCAAACTACATACGAAAATTAATCTCAGACTAGTGCTCCTCAGACTAAACACTCCTCAAACTTACTCAACTTCTAGATGTTTCCATAACGTCTCTAGTGTAAAAACGTATTTCGTCCACGCAAATACTGCTGAATTACACACCACACAAAGCCGAAAAATGTACACGAGCTCGTTTAAAAAACTAAAGTATTGAGATAACGAGGATTTACGCAAGTCAGCCTGCGGGCAGCGTCCCGCTCCGTTTCGCACCCGTCCTCTGCAACCCCCGCAGCTGCCGGGGCACGCCACAGCCCCCCCGGCCGGCAGAAGCCGGGGCCGGCCCAGCGCCGGGGGAGAGCCCGCACCCTGTCTTGAGCCTGGCAGAGAGCCTGCGGGGCCGGGGAAGCCGCGCCGGCTCCCGGAGGGACGCCCGGCCGCAGAGGACCGGCGGCGCCCGGAGGGAGGCGGCGAGGTCGGTCCCCGCCCGCAGGCCGGCCGGCGGAGGGAAGCGTTTCTTACCGGGGCCGGCTCCTCCTCTGATGCAGAAGTCCCGGGCCCGCTCCGCGCCGCGCCC